AAATGAAATGAAATGAAATGATGCGCACATACCTATTTTTTTGGCATGTACTGTTTTCAGGCTATTTTCTGGGCCGTTTTTGGGCTTGAAAACGGCCCAAAAAACCATCTATTTTTTAAACCAGAAGAGCAGACATAGGTTTGCCATCACGGGTGTAGGATCTCCTGCTTGAGCATGGGGCTGGACTAGAAGACCTCCAAGGTCCCTTCCAGCTTCTATTCTGATTTTGAATTCAGGCTAACCCCCCCACACACACACACAAACAAGCAGCTCAGAGATTCATCACGATGTACAAACTCCATCGCTGATCATTCGACTCTTAATCTGGTAAATACGCGGCTGCTGTTTATAGCTTTTCTTCACCGCGATCGAAAACCCTCATGTTTCCTCCCCAAAGCCGAGCCCGGCAGGGCTTCACAGCAGGCCCAGATAATTCAAGGCACCAACCCCCAAACTTTAGTTGCTAATTATCAGCCCACCCTCCGTCCCTGCGTTAAAGAATCCTTGCTCACCAGAAACTGGATGATTAAAGAACCTTTTTCCAAGGGAGATTTATAAATCGGCATCCCTTCGTTTACGATGCTCTTAATGTCTCCGTGCTTGATCACTTCACCTGTTGGAAGAGCCAGGGTTACACCGGGTCTAAAACGTAAACGCAGCTCAACATTTACCCACAAACGCAGCCCAACGAAGGGGCCGAGCCCACCTGGTTTGGAGGATATTAAAAGGACCCTGTCATCCAGCGTCTCCACGGTCTTCTTGAAGCCGCACAAGGCCTCCGTCAGCTGGATTTTCATTTTCATCACTAGGTCGTTGCCTCTCCTCTGATATACAGAGTGGTCTTTCTGATCCAGGACAATAATGACGTCTCCCGGTTCTAGGTCAGGTTCCTGATCACCTTCTCCGTGAAAGACAAGTTTCTGGCCATCTTTCATACCTAGAAAACAGAAGAGAAAACAAACTGTGTCCAGAGGACGATGGAAGGACTCCCTGGAGACACACAAACACCTGAAGAACAACCAAGGGATCCACTTCAAATCAACTGACTCAACTGCCACTATGGGGAGAAGGGTGTGTGTGTGTTGGAGGTGGTGGGGGAATGTCTTGATCACAAGCGAGATATTTCTGTGCAATGTTCTTCCAATGATCAGGATTTTTGATGCAATTG